ATGTAAGACATGCATGCTTACTAAAATTACTAGAAAACATTTTCATAAAGTTGAAAAAAGTTCTAAAATCTTAGAATTAATTCATAGTAATGTGTGTGATTTGCATAATACTCCTTTAACAAGTGGTAAAAAATACTTTATAACTTTCATAGATGATTACTTAAGATATTACTATGTTTAGTTGATGCATTCTGAAGATGAAACATTGGGTAAGTTTAAAACCTATAAAAATAAAATAGAATTGTATTGTAATTCTAAGATTTGACTTTTAGAACTAATAGGAGAGTTGAATATTTTTATCTTAGTTTCTTTAAATTCAATAGAATAATATATGAGGTAATACCACATATAGCCCACAATCAAATGGTGTAGCTAAAAGGAAAAATTGATCATTAACCTCAAATGGTTAATGCAATGTTGTCCTACTTCGGTTTGGAGAACATTTTTAGGGTGAAGCATTGTTAACTTCATGCCATATCCAAAATAGAGTTCCTAACAAAATGAACAAGTTAACCCTATATAAATTATGGAAAAAAAGAAAGCCTAACCTAATTATCTTAAGGTATGAGATTGTAGAAAAATAGTAAGAGTTTTCAAACCAAAATGAAAGAAATTAGGGGAAAAGGGAATTGAATGTATGTTTGTTGGTTGTGCTTAACATGGTAATGCATATAGATTTATAGTGATAGAAAATCAAATGACTCAATTCCTATTAATACAGTTATGGGATCTAAGAAAGTTATCTTTGATAAATATAAATTCAAATTGGAATCTAGTTCAAAAGAAATTGCTTTAGATAGCTTAAAAGAGTAAAAAAATGTAACTTCTATTGAAAAAAAAAAAACCTTATACCTAAAACAAGTAAGATAGCAAGAAAGGTTAAAACCTTTGGTTGAAATTTTACATGTTCTTATGAACAAGGGAAGCAATTAAGAAACACATTTTTGGATATGACCTTAAGAGAATATGAAGTCTCAAGATGTAACTTTTTGGAAAAAAGATATAGATGATGAAACATATTTTATTATGAGAAACAATACATGGATCTTAGCTAATTTACCTTCAAGATGAAAACTTATTGGTTACAAATGGATTTTCAAAAAAAAAATGAAAGTTGATGGAATTATAGACAAGTTCAAAGTTAGACTTGTTGCTAAGAGATTTACACAAAAGCATGGTATTGATTATATTAATACCTATGAACCAGTTGTTACAATAAGAATGCTTATAGCATTATCTTCCATATATAAATTTGAAATTCACCAAATGGATCCTAAAACAACATTATTAAATAGTGACTTAGATTATGAAGTATATATAAAACAATTAAGCCCCTAAGCAATGGCATCAAAAGTTTGATGACATTGTGCTAGTTAATGGATTCAAGATTAATAAATCTGATAAATATGTCTATACTAAATTTGAAAAAAGATAATGTGTCATCATATGTTTATATATGGATGACATTCTAATTTTTGGTTTGGATTTATAACAAGTTGAAAGCATTGAAAAGTTCTTGTCTAGCAACTTTGTTATAAAATACATAAGTGGTTGCAAATGTGATTTTAGGAATTAAGATAATTAAAGAAAACTCTAATATAACCTTGTCACAATCACACAATCACATTACATTAAGAAGATTCTCAAGAAGTTGGGTCATTTTAATAATGTAATACTTTCAGCACCTTTGGATCATGGTTTGAAGTTAACTACAAATAAAGGGACGTCGATTGCAGAACTTGAATAAGCAAAGGTTATAGGTTTTTTAATATATGCAATGACTGCACTAAACCGGATATAACTTATGTAGTTAGTAAGCTTAGTAGATATATAAACAACCCAAATAATTTGTATTGGAATGCTATTACAAAATCTTTCAATACCTAAAAAATTACGAATTATGGCATTTGTTATTATGGTGAACCTTCAATTTTGCAAGGATACACTAATACAAGTTGGATTACTAATATGAAGAATTATTCATCCATAAGTGGATGGATTTTCATGATTGGTGGGGTGCTATTTCTTAAGGATTCTAAGAAACAAACTTGTATAACAAATTTTACTATGGCTTTTGAATATGTGGCTTTAGCTTCAGCCTGGAAGGAAATAGAATAATTAAGGAATTTACTATTAGAAATTCTTTCATAACCAAAACCAATGCCACCAATATCCATCCATTGTGATAGTCAAGTTACATTTGTAAAAGCATATAGTCAAGTGTATAATGCGAAGTCTAGAGACATAAGTCTAAAACATAGTTATATTAAACAACTCATAAAAGATAGGGTGAACTCTATTAAATTTGTCAAGTCAAGTGAAAATTTGGCTAATTCATTGACAAAAGGACTTACAAGAGATGTGTTATCTAAAACTTCTAAAAATATGGGATTCAAGTCTATAAATTAAGTTAGACATGATGGAACCTTAACTCAATGCTTAATGCCACATTAAATCTTAAGTTTTTAATGGTAAAGTACATTATTTGAATGTGATTGCAAGTACTTAAATTAAAACTATCCCAAGGTAGATAAGTACTTAAACAATATGTGGAAAGGCAGAGTTTTAGCTCTTAATGAATCATAACATGTAAATTTAATATTGGAATGATTATATGATTGCATTAAATCTTGCATTTTTTATAGAGTTCACCTATATGAATGGAAGTGGCGCTGTTTTTAGGAATAAGGATTTAATTCTAAAAACACTCATGAACATACAAGATACACAACCATTGAAATTGTGTCAAATCAAGACTAAATGATGTTTTGGTAGGATTTAAAATTTTGTGTGGTATTAATCCATGACTAGTCACATAAATTGGTTGGTTTAAAGATTTAAGATCTATCATTCAATTTGACTAAATTAACAACACTTTATCACTAAAGTAAAGATTTTGAAATTATGTTATAAAATTTTAAAATCATGTCATATGATATCTTTATTTATGCATGAGATTTCCATAAGTATTGAAACTTAGTCTTATTTTGAATATAGGTGGTGAGATGTTATAAAATATTTTCAAAGTATGCAAATATGAATGAGTAATAAGTTAATCAAAGAGAAATCAAATTAAGCTATAAGATGGCTTAAGGTAAAGCTCTAAAAATCAAAGACATGATTTTAGACTTAAAAGAATCATATTAAAAAGGTTGTTCATAGAGGTAGTCGACTGCCACAATTATAGTAGTTGATTATCTTAGGCTTCCAAGAAGAGCAATCAACTGTTAAGGGCATGAAATTGATTGCTTTGACAAACAAAAACTAAACATAGTATCTGTATAAAATGGCAATTGACTGCTATCTTATAGCAATCGACTGCTATAGCAAAAAATGAGTAAAATTGATTCGGAACCCTAAAAAGAGTCAACCGCTAATATTTAAAAGAATCTATTGAAAATTACTTTATACCATAGCAGTCGACTACTACTGAAGAGGAATCGACTGCTTTATAGATGACTATAAATGAAACTTTTTCAGAATTGAAAAGAGTTGATTGTTATATTAAGTAGTTGACTATTCACATGTCAAATGCATTTTGTAAGATATTGGAGTTGATTGCTCTAACAAGAGTAGATTGCCCTACTTCATAAAGCATTTTAAAAATTGAAAATACAAAGAGACAGTTGACTACCTTATAGGTGGAGTCATTTGCTTTACATGAAAAGTTACAATGCTAGAAACGTGAAAATTGTGTTCTATTTATTTGAAAATTTTGATTATTTAAATGAACTAATATGTTTGCAATCTTTCAAAAAGATATCTTTCTAACGAAATAAAGTAATTTTTTATTGAAACAATATAATGAAAGAGTCACAACATCATGATTTAATCTCTATAAATAAAGATTTATGTGAGTTCATTTGAACAACACAATTCATAATTCCAAAAGTAAAAAAACTCTTTTCCTTTCTCCCAATCCTTTCTCGTTTAAATGCAAATTTCTTTACATTGTTTGCTACAAAAAATCTTGTTGAAAATAGTGTATTTCTGTTCTTAGAATGGTTTGTTTTACTAGTGCAAAATAAGAACAAACAAGACTTTATTATATTTTTTTTGGACATTTTGGTTCACTTTTTTTGTACACTATAATTAGTTGGGATGAAATAAGTCTTAAATAAAACAACATTTGCAGCACACCTTAAAGTCATTTTGTTTGTGATTAAAAGTCTAAATTGTTCTACTCAACTATACGTTAAGGAGGCTATAAAAAGTTCACAAATTGAGAAGACATTCAAATATCCACAAATAGTTTTTTTTTTTTTATAGCTTTGTACTTTTTATCTAAGAATTACTGTACCGAGCAAGCCTATGCTACAGTCAGAGAGATAGAGACAAAATAAGAAACATGATAAAGGAAGAATCAAATAGTAATTTTATTAGGAAAGAAGGGATCAAGCAGTATTTTTGGTAAGATGAGATATTATGTTATAATGGTGTAAAAAATTTTTAGGAGGGGGTGTTGCCCCCTGCCAGCCCTCCCTAGCCACGCCCCTGAGGGAACAAGCAAGTTTCTTTCGAATACAATGGTGTCGAGGAAGTGGAGAGAGATTCAAGTATGAGAGAAGAGAGAATCAAGGGAGTGTTTTAAATTCTATTTTTTGTGTTTTTAAAATTGAACAGAGTTAGGGCTTTGGTTAATTCCTTGCGTTGAAAAGGAATTTGAAATTCTGGCCCTTTAGAATTCGTGTTGGAAATCTAAATCCAATCCATCTGTATAAAATCCAAAAAAAAAATTTGTATTCTTAAATCCAAATCCAAATTCTTTAGCCCAAATAATGTTCCCAAACAGAGCATAGAGGTCTGAAATCCAATACTATAAAAATAGTTATGTTGTGAAATTGCCTATTTAAAGATTTAGAAAGGTTGGATTAAGATGTCCTGAATGACAATAATTTCACCTGTGTATTATTCTTATGTTGATGTGGTTTTCACAATTGCAATAAGTTTCCCCTTGAACTATGACCAGTCTGAAAAACTCCATTAATCTAGCTATAGTGAAAGGCCTAAATGTTGAAGATAAAGTCAACGGAATAGTCCATCCAATGGAGCCATATACTTTATTGACATTACCAAACAAAATTCTCAACTTGATACTTTCTCACTTCATATCTAAACGGAAACATCAGAGGGGAAATCTTGTGGATATTTATTGATAGTTTCTCTAAGTTGTTTCTCTTGCTCAAGAAGGTTAGATGGTGGAAGATCGTAGACATCCGCGAACAACTCCGTAAGTGGAGGTTTCTCCGTTTTCTCTGCCACTTGAATAGCTTGCAATAGCTGCACATATGTAATTGGAAAAACAATTATGAAAATTGGATTTGAAAAGTGGTTTAAATGAATTACATAGGTCATATATATACTCACCTGCTTCTTTATGCTACTTCGAAGTTGAGCTTCATCTCTTTCACTCCACCAGCCATTAATTTCAACCCACTTTCTAAATCTCTTTACTGGGTTTCGGTCTATTTTCCAGTATTCGATTTCTTCAAGAGGACGATACTTAGTTGAATCATCGGATGTGGAATGGTGTCCCACTCTATATGCAAGAGTCTGCATTTATTAAAATCAAAAGATTACTGGTTTAATGTCACCGAGAACCTGCCAAGAGCAAGTATTTACATGTGGTTTCTTGTTTTTCAAGTTTGCAAGGTAGAATTGAATCTTGAGATCAACAAGTTTAATATCTTATACCAGGAAAATTTATTGTGCTGGTATTAAACAACGTAGTTAGGGCTGTAACATTTCATAACTTTTGGCATTTTTTTTAATACATTTTGGCGTTTGGAAGGGAATACCGGATGTGATCTTACCTCCACTAAGACAGGTCTTTGCTCGCTTATTGCCATATTGCGAGCAGCATGAATTGCACCATAAACAGCAAGTGCATCAGTTCCATCCACCCGGATGCTTGGGATTCCATAAGCTGGGCCCTTAACAACTATACCATCACCTGTCAAACATGACTGATTCTTCAAATGAGTCTCTGATAGTTCAAACAATTGCAGGGTAGAGAGTGCAAATGAAATTAGCAAATATTGGGAGCCTGCTAACCATTGATGGAAACATACTTCTAAATTGTTCTGATATAGGTGTACTTATGGCCCAACCATTGTTGCGACAAACAAAGATGATTGGGGCTTCCATAACTGCTGCAAAGTTCACACCAGCATGAAAATCACCCTGAAAAAGGCAGTTAATAATTAATGAGAAAGTGAGAAACAAGTTTTAGTACACTGATAAAAAGAAGAAAAGGATCAAGAGATGATTATTTTAGAAAACCTCACTGGTACCACCATCCCCAATAAATGCAACCGCACATGCATCCTTCTTATCCATCTTGAGAGAATAAGCCATGCCTGCAGCTTGTGGAAGCTGAGTTCTGTCAAGCACATATGCACAGAATTTAAATCACTCAAGAGTCGAAAACCAATGGTTGAAATTTGGTTATGATCAATTCAGAGTTCAAAATTCAGATATCTTACGCAATAGGTGATGAAACAGTGACAACGTTGTGCTTTCTTGACCCGTAATGAACTGGCATCTGCCGACCTTTTCCACCATCACCCTTGTTTCCAAAGCATTGGTTGGCAAATTCTTGTAGTGTGAAACCACGCCACAATAGAACTCCAGGTTCCCGGTACTGGCATGCATCACGATTCACATTATTAGAATATGATAAACTGACCAATATTACACGTGCATTTTTTTTTTTCTTATCCAATTCTACCTGGGGCAAAACAATATCATCTTTGCTAAGTGCAGCAGCAGATGCTATGTTAATGGCTTCTTCGCCGAATGATGTTATATAGAAGGATATTCTCCCTTGCCTTTGTGCTTCATAGAACAAAGTATCCATCATTTGCAGCGTAACCATGTTACTGTACATTTTTACTGCCAATTCTTTGTTAACCTATTGATCATTGTTTAAAATGAATTTTGTAAATTTTGGTACTAAATTAATATCAAGATCATTAAGCTTGGAATTTTTTTTTTTTTTGGGTTAAAAAGTATAGATACCTTTTCAAAATCACTATCTCTAATAAGCTCTCCATCATCATCAAGAACTCGATAGCAAGGTATTCTTTGATCAAAAGAACCAGAAATGAATGTCATTTCTGAGGTATATGGAACTTTCCCTCCTGGAAAATCCAATGCCTGCCAAATAAATAAATCTAAAATTCAAAAACATTTGTATAGCGTCACTTAATTTTTATTTACAAAGCTAAAATCTTTTGCTTGTTCTTTGTTGAATATATAATGGCATGACATGTCGCCTTGAAGTTTTAGTAAACACAAACTTTTGTTATTAGGAATGGCATCTCAATTATAAGGAAATGTTTAAGGATATATCTAAACTTTAAAATTTATTAATGTGATATTTAAATTATAAATCTACTAATTAATATGTATTGAGAAGATTGTTTGTTCATTATGTATTACCGTTTGAAGTTAATTACGTTAAAAATGAGTACTTCATTAAATAACATATATAATTCAGATATTATATTAAATATTTTATTATAATTTATAAGTAATTGTAATATTAATCCTTATTATTATATTTTTTAGTAAGGAATCATTTTGTTAATTTAAATAAAACATTTTTATTAATAATAATAATATATAATTAAAATTCAATGAGAAGCTAAATAATAATTTTGTATCTGCGTTCAAACATTTGACTCAGTCAATTAGTGCCTAAACCTAAATTAAAATATTTGGATTCAAATCTCCTCTCTCAAATCAAAAATAAATAATTTACATGCACATACTTGATACAAACAAATTGAAAGCATACATTTTTTTCTTTCAATTTTATTCTTTTTTTCAATTTAATCCTCATTTAGTCAAATTTATGTAATTATTTTTGTAAATATATATTTTTTATATTTAAAATTATTAAAATTTAAATCTTAATTACTGAAATTAAAAACCTAATATTTAAAAAACCAATGACACAGCCCTAATGACAAATAATCCCACCCCTAAAGAAAGTTTCACGCTTCTAAAATGTAAACACGTGCTCAAATAAAGTTTTTTTTTTTTTTTTTTTTCTCAGTTTTAATAGTAATCTCAGCCTACTAAAGCCTCAAAAGCTAAGGGATATTGTTTTGGTGCCAAAAAAATTAAATTTGATTTTGACAAGATTGGGGCGAAGAAAGGGGCAATTAAATCATCGTCCGGGCCGGCCAGGATTTATCCTCCTAATTAATATTATCGGCACAAGAGGAAGTATGTTTTTCCACGGGTCGTATATTCACTTAGGAAGCAATTATTATAAATAATAAAACTATTAATAAGATGCAAAATTTTAGTTATTATTATCTATTCATAATTAAAGTTAATAAGCAAGTTCGCTTACACCAATGTCTGTTATTTATTCATAACTAAATTTTATATTTCTTCTCACAGTTAATCTCTATTTGTATAAAATTAAAATTACTAAAACGTCCTTTAACTCTTTTTTAAAAAAAATACATAACATTAATTTCATTTAAATTGGCTCGATTGTTTATTTATTTAGTTTATAAAATATATATTTATGTATAAATATATGTATATGAAGAAGAGAGGTTTGAATTTGAGTATGATACATGCATCAAACTATTAATCATTAAATGAAATGTTTTAATATATTTTATTTATTTAATTTGATCTTTGTTTAGTTTTTTCTTCATATAACAACTATATCAAATTTTTTAAAAATTATTTGATTATAATTGTAATTTTTATATTTTCACGTAAAATTATAACTATATACAATATACATGTTTCTATATTAAAAGAATAAAATTCAAATCTCCTATAACAAATAGAAAAAAAGAACCATATTAGTAACGTATATTTCACCTTCTAAGTTACGGTAAAGTTTAAGATTAAAGACGGAATGAACAGATTTTAATTGATTAATTTTTTTAGAGTTTCTATTCTATTCCCTTACCCCATCCAATGCTACTATCTATATGAACTTACCTGGTTGGGAAGGAGTTTACCTCTCGAACTCAGGCAACTCTCCATACGCCAATACCCTGTGCCGTTGAGCCAAAGGCTCTTTGGCAATTGATTAATTTATTATCAAATAGAAGCATACATAATTACCTGCTCATCATCATCATCGTCATGTCGAGAATCCAGTTGTTTTCCAGCTACCGTGAACTTGAAGCGCTCAACCGAGAAAAGGAAAGCCTTGTTGCATGGAAATGAACGTGGGGTTAAAGTTTTATCAGATTGGAAGGGATTGCTCCAAGAAGAACCTGCTTGGTGGATTTGAGCAGCAGTTCGCCTTAAATCAACCTTTGGAAATGACCTCATGTGATGAGCAATTGCACTTGATCTTCTCCACCAACTTCCCATGCTTATATAAATTAAATAAATATTGGTTTTCTTTTCCTTTTATATATATATATATATATTTCTCTAATTAAACAATAATTCTGGCCAAAGAAAAAAGTTGAGTAGGAGGAGGAGGAGGAGGCAGTGAGAAATTGGTGAAAGAACGAAAGAGAAAACTTGAGGTGGAAAACTTGTCTCACACGGTTAATCTCCCTCGTTGGGAAGATATAAATGCATGTATGTACCTTTTGTTAGTTAAAAAGCCTCCAATTAATTAAGTTAGTGGAAGTAAAATTAAATAATCAATCAAGCACATAGGTAATGACAATTTAACATGATTTAGTCTAACTGATCTATGTTCATAGATGAGAAACAAGATTCATTAGTTGTAGAGAATTATATCAAAACAAATTAATCTTACTCACAATTAATATCCAAAGACCCTCTCAATCTTCTCTAATCCTATGAAGCATTCTCATCCTAAACAAACATATACTTATGTGCACTTTTTTAACATAAATAAACACATACCAATATGCACCTATGCACCATACCTATGTAGACCCTCTCAATCTCTTGTAATCTACTCCAACATACACACCTATAAAAATGTTAATCTCAAATCAATCTTACCCACAATTAATACCCATAGATCCTTTCAATTTTCTTTAATCCTATAGAATATTCTCATCCCAAACAAATACATATCCATGTGCACTCTTTCAACACAAACAAACATATACGTATAAGAACCCATGCACCATACCTATGTGGACCTTCTCAATCTCCTGTAGTCCATTCTAATATAAATATACATACTTATGTGGACCCTTTCAGTCTCATGTAGTCTACTCCAACATACACAACCATAAAGATGTTAATCCCTTCTAGTCGTATAGTGTCTATCCCATAAAACCCTATAACTCTCTTACATCTTTTTCTCATACCAACCTATATAGACTTCACCTATTTATAAGTATACAAACTTGCCTATCAAGAATCCTTTTTCTATTAGAATTCTTTTTTTGCAAGTCTTTTTATTTATCAAGTAATATCTAACCAATATAAAAAAAATCTATTATAGGATTTGAGTCACTATTCTCAATAATCTTCACCTTAACTCAAATTTATCAAATCATCAATTTTTATGCTAGACATGCTTGGCTCCACTTGCAATAAAAGTCTCACAATCATTTTCTCTTGTATGTCTTCATGCTTCACGCAAATTAATCTTTAAAACATGAATTCGAACTCTCCTTTTAAATCGAGTTTTTTTGGTTTACCTCTTCCCATGCCTCAAGCCTTCAGCTCTAACATAGCTTGTTAGAATCACGATAACTTTGATATGACTTGTTAGGTAAAAAGTCTCCAATCAAAATACCAAAAACTACCCAACCTCCTATCGTAGCAACACAAAACCATCCTCTTGTAGTAGCACCACAAAACCATCCACTACCCAAATTGAAAACCCCACCCTCATAAAAAATGGCACCATCCCAAATTCCACTTTAACTCAAAGACCACTGTTAACACCAAAAAATTAAAAAAAAAACTAAAAAGCCAACACAATATTCCCCTTAGGAAGGAACCACAATGTTGAAATCACCCTGAAAAAAAATTAGTTTCAGTTTACACAAAAAAAAATAGAGGAAAGAGAAGAAATTAGGTAAAAAAAAGAAATGGGAACAAAAAGAAAAAGCCATCAATACCAGAAGAGGCAAGAATAGTGGCAAAAGGTTGACGGCGATGGGGAGACTTATGAGAGATCCAAACACTGAAAAAAAAAAAAAAAAAGATGAAGGCAACAATATACTAGAATTTGAGGATGATGGGATGACAAAAAAAAGAGAGTAAATGACAGTTCATAGTTTCATTTTAAAATTTTAGATCTACAACATTATGGGCTTTTTCTAGGAAAAATAAAACTCGGATTCATGAAAAAGTAACTGAGACAAGCATTTAGTGAGGCCTTTTAGACAAGAAAGTGTCAGCCAGTGGTGGCGACTAGTGACAAAAGCAGTGGTAGTGCGACGATCAATTGCTGTTTTCTAGAGTTAGGGCTAGCTACTTTGGATTTTTTAAAAAAGGCTAATTTTTTTTCTTTTTTTAAGAGGCATTAAAATGGTTTTTTTTTTTAATTATGGTTTTTATAGTATAGTATTGAAAAAAAAAAAAAAAGGGTGGCCTATGACGATTCAGTGCTAGGTGATTTGGCCCGTGACCCACAGGTCTGGCCTGGCCCATTTGTAGTAGACTTGGCTTTGGGCTATTTTCTAGATTTTGTTTTTAGGCTCAACACCAAGGTTTGATAAGGTATAATTACTAATTCTTTTAAGCCATTTTATCATATATGATCATTTACTCATTTTTGTATACATGCATGTTAAAAAAGAAATTTAAATTTAAATTTAAATTTTACTTTGTAAGGATAATTTTAAGAAAAAAATTAGTTCATATATATATATATATATTATATGAAGTTTTATGATGAATAAATTAAATGAAAATCTCAGATGATAAGATTCCGGAAAGTCCAAATAGTGATTCTCGATAATTTTTTAGGTGAGAAAATACTTCTAAAAGTTACCAAAGTATTGGAATATTTAGAAACTCTTTTCAATACAAAAATTTTTATTTTTATTTTTTTCTCTTTAATTTGAATAAATTTCTTTAAAATGATAAAAAAATATGTATGTATATAAAATATTTATAAAAGTATGCATTTTTTAGAAAATAAACTTATTTATAGATAATTATATTATTGCATAACTTTTAGATATTAATAATTATTAACAAAGTGAAAAAATGAAATTTCCTAAAATGATATTTTAAAGAAATTTGAGTAGTAATTCTTTAAAAATTTTTATGTGAGAAAAATTTTCTAAAAATGCTGCCAAAGTAATAGAGCATTTAGAATAATTTTCGATAAATATTTTCATTACCTTTTAATAAAGAAATAAGAAGTAAATTTTTATGAAAAGAAAATATTACTTGGATTCAATTATAAGGACTTTGTTATTATATACATTTAAAATATTGGTTTTGAGGATAATACAAACTGTCGACGATGGGATATATGGAAAGTATAAGTAGTAATTCCCGATAATTTTCTAGGTGAGAAAAATTCTTTCAATTTTACCAACGTGTTTGGACATTTTAAGATTTCTTTAAATAACAAGGTTCTAATATTTTTCTTAAATAAAATAAAATAATAAAAAACCTAAAATTGCTACAATAAAGAAAATTAAGAAAATTAATTTTAAATATCAAAATTAAGACTTTTTTAGTCAAAATTAAATGATAGCACTTAATTGATTGGTACCATTTTAAACAGACGCTATGCGATACTAATTATTTTTCACATATAATTGACTCTCGAACTTAAACTGTTTCACAAATCCAAAAATTATATTTTTAATATAGTTTAATTAATTTTAAAATTTTATCCAAAAAATAAATTTTAATAGGTGATCAACCACATCTAATTAAAAAAAAATAATGACAACCTTTTCTCTTATTTTTAAATTCATTTAACGGTTTCCAAAATCGTTTCAACACTTACAAATGCATTAGTATTTATCTTTCAATTGGCTCACTTCTAGTAATTCAAAAATGTAAAAACCAGAATAATCAAACAAGTTGGTAGATTTGCGGTGCCATTAGCTAGAACAAGAGCCACTTCTTGGCGAGGCTCAAAGATATATATTTTCTAACGAGGCCATCTAGACTAGAGCTGCTAGGGTAATTGCTACTCTTAGCTTTCTTGAGTTCATAGAAAAAAGATTTGAAGACACATTGCAATGAGGCAGAAGTGAATTATGATGCTTCCACGTAGGTGGTGGCTGTCGTTTCGGGCATTTTGGCAGGTTAGGTTTCCTAGTATTGATAGAGCAAGGGAATTGTTATGTATTTTATCTGTTAGGTAAGCACACAATGGAATGAAATTAGGATTTTGATTATTATTTATAGCCTGGCGAGGCCCCATAGGATATTAGTTATTTTTCTTTTATGTATACATTACTCTAATCTAAATATTCGAAGCCACAAACTTTAAATCTTAATCCTTTAACGAATTTTAAATAAAGTTTATATAATGTATAAATTACAAACATTATTAATGAATAAAATGATATTATCTCATTAATAAATAAATATCAAGTTTTAAAATAAATATCAAAAAATTAATATTTTTTGAAAGTTTACTCATTAATAAGAAAAATCAAGTTTTCATTAATGAAGTGATATAATTTAATTTATCTTATTAATAAAATAATATTATCTAATTTACTAATAATGTATAAAATTTATATACTAACAATACATCAAATATAAATTCTTTTAAATATATGACATGACCATTATATTTAAATTCTATTTGAATAGACAGTGAGATTGGCTCTAATGAAATTAAAAATAATGATATCTATAAGATTAATTATTATAGCGTTAAGATTGAGTACTGTAATAATAAGATTAAAATTAATTGTAAAATATATATTTAAATGCAAAAATAGTGATAAAGGTGAGGTAAAGTGAAATAAAACAAGAAAATGTTCAAAATTGGTATATAATGAGTTTTACAATATATTTTGTATTTATAAAATTAAAAAATTAATAAAAATTAATTAAAAAAATTATATCAAATACTTATTAATTAATTTATTAAATTATTATATAAATTAATTTTTAAATAATTATAACAAATTAATTTTAAAAACTTTGAATTTAAAAAATAAAATAACAAAAAAATTAAATAAATAATGAAAAAAATTCTAAACTAAAGCCCAAGTACACATTCCTCCGTGCATTGTAATTTCAAGGGCATAAAAGAAAGAAAAGAAAGGGAAAGTTAAGATAAAATGGGAAAAGAAAGGTGCGGTGAGAGCCAAGGGTGCATTTGAATTTAGTAGCACCCCCACTGAAGATGCATTTAATAAAAAAAAAGTTGTCCTAATCAGCACTGGCATCTTGCGCGTGAGATTTTATGTTAGTGGGTCATTGGCCCTTCTTGGTACAATAGC